ACTGTAGATCATTTTGAACATCAGCTGCAGTGGGATTCAGTTATTGCTTCTACAAGTATCATCTAAGTATTTATTGGTACAAGAGAATTCCCAATGTATATGCTTCTCTTTCCAATGATTATATAAGGCCTTGCCCAGGGAACTCTGAATAAAGCACAACAGTGACTAAGCACCATTTGCAGGTCAGTCTTTTTTTTTTTTTTAATATTTTGAAAGCATTGGATACAGAAAACCTGTTCTGAAGGAGCAGTTTTAATAACAAGTGCCACAGAGCATCTGTGTGCAGTGCATACTTTTAGGAGGTAGAGAACTGGAAAGTGTTCGTGGAGATACTGTACATATATTTGGACCTCAGAATATAAGCAAGCATGTAAGTTGCCAGGGAGGAGAGACTTGTTGATTTGGGGAGGTAACTCCAGGCTCCCGTGTTTACTTCCTAGCTGCAGTTGACTTCCTATGGAGATCTGGGCAATTTTCCGATGTTCCTTGCCCGATCTGACCCATTTGTGCAGTCGATCTACTATTGCTTATCTATTGTTAAAAAGTACCTGGAAGTAATTAATTAGCATTTCTAATGAATTAGTATCTCTCAGGTAGTTTGCAGTTCTCAGAGGAGAGATACTCTAAGGCAAACCTCAACTCTGCCTCCCCATCCCACAATTATTGCCCATCCAAAGTAAAATCTTGACCTGTCTCACTGACGATGTCTCCTCGAGGATGTCTAGGCTGCCGGCTGAAGCTCCATGCAACTAAAGCAGAGCCTTTCCTCTCCCCCCAAGCCTTCATCACGACTTCCCTTCTTCATCTCTTTGGACAACACCAGCATCTTGCCCATCCTCAGGCCTGTATCATGGCATCTTTTACTAAGTTATTTTTCCAGATCCTCACACACAGTTATATCTAAATCTTGCAGATTTTTTTCTGAACTACACTGCTAAGTTTTGGCCACTGTTATTTAATTGGATGAATTCCTCCTTCCTTCCTACCTCTCTGCCTACCTGCCTGACTACCTGTCAGTTTTTCTGGAGCTGCTTGGATGTTGCACCAATAAAAGTCATACCTCAGCCTATCCTCAGGGACTTTTGAGTTGAATGGAAAATACATAAGTGCCATTTTCAGTGTCTGTTTTACTTGCTGAAATGCAGTCCGACTTTGAGCCTTTCAAGGGCAAAATATTGGGAGGTCTGTATGTTGTAAAGCTGACGATAGGAAGAATAATTGCTACTGTGTCTTCTATTCAACAGAGCAGTAGTTTAAGCACAGAGCAAATATATAATTCTACCTGTTCTGTTCCATTTTTCTTTCTGTCTGAGGAGATGGGACATACTCCAGACACAAGACTTAACCATTGTGTTCTAGAGTACAGGTGGGAGGAAGAAGGTTTCCTTCATCTCCATCATGTCTGTAATTTTATTTTATGAAAAGTACTTAAGTATCAGATTCATTTCTTGGGATGCAGCCAAACTCATCAGTTTTCCAGGCAATAATGAAATCCATCATTCATTAAAAGTACCTGAAATATAAATGCAACCTTTTAATTTGTACAAAACCCACTGTTTTGGTTTCACATTTTGGCCAGAAAAAATTAATCCCAAATGACTTCGAAGCAGTTTTTTTCTCCCTTGCCACTTAACTGCCACACTGAAATGCCGGATATTTGCACAATCTCCTTACAGTGTCTATGACTTTTTCACCCACTGGAAACGGCTGTGTCACTAGTATGGTCACTGAGCCTTTTTAAACCTAAGTTGGATTTGGCCCTTAGTCACTCAGCCTCAATGACTCCAGCGGTGCCTAGTGAAGGGCGCCTACAAAGCTCCTTTGATACGCTGAGCCTGTCAGACACAAAACTCTTGGGAGGCCAGCAAAGGTTCCTGGTTACCTTGTCTCTCTTTCAAATACTTTGTTGAGATAAATATTAAGGAAGATTGATTAATTCAATGGGATATCCCATTAATTTGGTTTCTTACACATTTGTTTTGGCAGATTTTTCCTCACGTGCTTGTGAATTTTCTAATTGCTTTGATGTTTTGACATTGGACCTGTATGAATCTCAGCATTGGACCTGATAGCTTTACGTTCTCACGTTAGACCCAGTTTTGCTCTACTGTAACGCTTGGTTTTCCTACGTGCTGGCATTCCCAATTCCCCGGCTGCAATGACACTGAAGTGCTGGTTATCTGCAGAGCCACATTGATGATAACAAGGAGAGGCTTTTTCATTTTGCATTAATGTCGTGTTTACACTGGTCGCAGGAACACGTGCGGTCCAAACCTATCATGGTACACTGACAAAGCAGGTTACAGTAACAGAAAATGTCAGGGATTTGTAAGTTCACTGTGCATCCATGAGGCTGATAACGATGATTAGCCAAAACTACACCTTGCCTCTCTTGCAGAAGAGGAAGATAAGGACTCATGTGCTATTGCTCTCTAAAAGAACCCTCTGAGAAAGAGGGACTACTTAAGACCTTGGCAATGAGGGCAACCCTTGCACATCTGACCTCCCAGGAAACATAAGTATGAGGTCCCGAAGAGCAGTCAGAAAGCTGTAATCAAAATAAAATACAATGCAAGAAGTATTGGCAGGGAAGGCACGTGACAGCAAAGGCACCTGAGCTGTGCCAACACCGGCTGCTTGAGATAGCCCCAGAGGCTGCTCTGGAAACCACGGCCCCAGCGTGGTGGGAGGCAGCCAGGAGGTCCACTGTCCTGGTGGGGTGGTGTCCATGCTGGAGCTTGAGTTACGGGATAGCATTTTTAAGCTGGCACCATGGCGATTCTCCACTCTTTTGGAGAGGGTCTCATCACCAAGTGTCCTCAAGGGTAGGACAAACCTTACCTAAGATAAAACAATGTAAAATAGCAGTCTGTAATATTTCTTATGGGGGATCAAAATTTTAACAACTTTTTTTTGTAGGATGTAATTTTTTTACTTGCTTTTGATTTTCTTCATGTTAAGTAGAATAGTAGCAATCCCACTGAGTTCTGCTTATCTGTAGGTGCTGGCAATGATTTGTACAGAGCTCCCTTGCTTCAAATGGCTTTTGTTTCAAATAGTGGGAGCTGGTAATTTGAGTGGGTTCTTCCCATCTGCAAGTCCCGCATTCAGTATATCTCTGTGCACATGCCTTCAAGGGCACCAGTCCTGGCAATCTGTCAAGAACACTTCTTAAAATGACTGCAGTGAGTTAAACAGACGGTATGGGCAGATGCAGTGATGTTCACCAAAAGGGGAAACCTTATCTCTGCAAGACTGCTGGTTTGGGAATCTGTGTGAAGGGCTATGTTTTTTTAACATACCAGGCTATATTTATCCAGATCTTTTTATTTCTTCGTAGCTTTTTTACTAATTAAAACAACAACAACAACAACGAAAACCCAACAGCAAAACTCCACTCTGTTTTATTCTGAACCTGATGCGGTCGGTCAGGACTGGGGACTCTGCAGTCCTGGCACACAAGCCCCTGTGCATTACTCAGCAGCGTATGGAGCTGGCTGTTTGGAAGAGCCCAGCCTTGTGCGCCTGGCTTCTTCCCATAACTGAGTAAGAAGGATGCCCGCATAGCCTGGGTCTCCTCAGGCACCCGAGGCTCTTGAATCAGCTCAGCCAATCGCTCAGTTTACAGCAAAACTTTCCAGAAAGTTTGTCCCTTGGAACTGGTAGAAATCATCCCAAAAGGGCAGTGTGTAAAGGATAATTTAAATTCCAGACTCCAATTTCTTGGTATTACAACAAATAAAACTCTTGTGTTATTTCTCTTAACAGAGTTAAAAATTAGATGCAGGAAAAATAAACAGAAACATTAAGCTTTGAAATCTTTTTTTTTTCCACTTTCATTTTGGTAAGACAGAACTAATTTGCTATCCTATCTGCGCTGTATCCTGCTGCCGAAATAATCTTTTCTGTGCCCTGGATTTTTATTAGCCTTGCTTGCTTATTACCGAAAGATTTACTTTCTAGGACTCCTTTTAATTCCGTTTGCTACTACACCGCCTTTTCTCTTGAATATGATTTTTCTGTAATGTCCTTTAAAGATTCTTGGCCTTTTCTAACCTAGGACATATTTATAGTAGCCTGGTCTAGTTTTCCTAACCATTGGTGATCTTCCCAGCAGGATACGTTCCTTTGTCTTCTTCCTAATGTGATTCAGGATACATTCCAATTTAAAGTTCCCTTATGCTTGAACCGTTGTGCTGGGATTTATTGTACTAAACCAAACTCCAATAGATTTTCCTGAGGCTTTTCTTTGTCAGTTTGCACAGCACTCATGAGATATCTGCTGCCAAAGTCCTTGCATTTTAGTAATAACACCTTAGCATTGTTAATGTAAATATGTTTTAATTTTCCTTTGGCCAGCTCATCTGTTTTAATTCCTTAAGTATTCAGTTTTCTTTTGAGAAAGGTCAACCAAAGGAGCTCTTGTCCTTTGCAGACAAGAAAATACCAGAAATAAATGTGGAAATAGGCATAAACATGAGGCCATTAGTGGTGTCTGTATGGGTGTGCCCACCATGCCTAGAATGGTGTAAGTACAGTAATCTGCTCAGCAAATTTGACTGTGTGAGCATATTACTATGTTTAGAGGTAGTTAAATGCAGGCATAAATAGCTCAAAGTGTTTTTACAGAATTAATAAAATCATCTTGTACATGCAGTCCAGCCATAAATGGTACACAGATTGAACACAAAATGACAGAAAAATACAAATGTCTTTTTAGACACAAAGGAGTAAACAGAGAATTCTGTGCTGCCCTGTGCACGTGAGTCTGTGTACATGCATTCATAGAGATACAAGGTATTTGTAGCCAGTGAGTTGTGGCTCCTAAGCTTGATTTAAAAACTGAATGAGTTTATTATAATCCCCTGCCCCCGCAAAAAAAAAAAAAAAAAAAATCTGAGGAATCAATCTAATCTGCTTTGCTAAATGAACATGTGAAAGTGCTTATCTGGGATGAACCTGGGGACTATACGTATTTCTCTCTCTTTTTCCTTAAACAGAATGAAAATGCCCTTGTGAAAATAAAGGAGTTAGGAGTCGAGCTTGCAAAGATCAGGGATGAAGTTGGTAAGTAATACAAGCAAAGTGATAACAAAAGTGATTTTCTCACTTTACACAAAAGCAGTTATTCCCTGTGACCTGATCCTGGGGAACCTGCATACATGCGATAAAGTGTCTTCTGAAGCCAGTGGCAAGGGGTTTTGTGGCTTTGCAGGGAACCGTGATTTTACCTCTTTGTTATGGAAATGGGTCCATCACCACACCCACTGGAGCTAGATGTGCATCCTCTTTACTAGACAAATGGGTCTTCATAAATCCATAGCATCCGTTCTCAAACTATATACCACCACTGCCAATGAGAAAGCACAGCGTGATGAGAAATGGGAACTTGGGACCTGTGGTGCACGGTGACTGGGAATGCATCACTTACTTATGTACATTTGCATGTTTTGCAGTTCAGCTACAAACTGAAGGACACCAAGCTCAGAACTTACTTTTTAGTATCTCTAAGGTCTCTTCCTGGTTGAAAGATGACAAAAGCAACGTGTCCCATTCGGTCTGTGTATTCCACGTGTACCTGCATGCACCACTTTTCCTGTTTGGTTTCTGATCTAGACAGGAGAGACAGGGAGGGTGTAAAGACATTGCAACTCTTGAGAGAGAAGATGGGCTTTGGTGCTGGCTTCAGCCAACAGGCTGAGTTCTTTTGGGCTTAAATCTCCCCAGAACGGGTGTGACGTTGGGTTCATCTATCCCAGGGCAAACAGAGAGGAGGAAAGGCACCTGGAGGAAGGACCATTGGGGCAGGGGACACCCTAAGTACCAAAAGGTGGTGGAACCACTGATGACTGGAGCTGTGAACAGGGGGAACCTCTCAGCTTTCCCTGCATGTGGGACCCCAGGTGCTGGGTCGTACATTAAGCACAGATTGTGCCATGTGGCGGGAGGGTGACTTGGTTCGCAAAGGGGAGCCAGGCCAAATCCCTGTGAGGTGAGCAGAACTGCAGATCATCCCTGTGCTTCGTCTTCACCTTGCCTGTAACAACTCACTGCGGAAAAGTTGAGCCCAGCCCTTTTCTGATGCCCAGCAGCTTGTGCTCCCTGCTGTGCTCCTCTGAAATTTTTTGGCTGATCATCATTTCATAGAGAGCTTTATTGTCCCCATGGCCAAAGGATACTGCAGCAATAGCAAAACAGCATTTCCAGTTATTCCCTGATGCCTGCCTTCATCCATCCTCTGCATCTCCACAGGAGTTGTTGCCACCGGTGCATTCTTTAGGCAGGGCACATCTGAAGCTCTCCATTGAATACCCACTTCTCATTTGAAAGCCCTACCTCTTTCTAGCGGGTTGGGTTTGCTCATTTTCATGAGTGCTTTTGCAAGTGGGGGTGACATGGGAAGGAAGGAGAGGTACAGTGCTGAAGATAAAGAGCTCTGCTTCCATTTACACCGTGTTTGTACAGCTGAGGTGAATACAAATCACTGGTGGTTTTGCTGGAGAACTTTGCCAGGGATATAACTGACTGCCTGTTTGCGGGTCACAGAGCAGCATGTTCAGTGACAGGAGATCACTGCACTGCGGGCCCTTGCCATTGCTCTTGTGCATGCAGCAGTAGATACCTCCTCTGCACAAAACTGAGTCCTGATGGAGTACATGGAGAAAGTTTTGGTAAGAACCCCAAATATTCCAGAAGAGCAGACTGAGGTCTCGGCTGAGCTGTACTGCTTCAGAAGGGAGATTGGCCATAGACGTGTCTGTGCTCTCTTTCTCAGAGAGGGGAAAGATGGTGTGAGATAGTCCTTTCCTCAGTGGTCCTGTGGGAATGTTTACTGGAGAGGAGCCATCACAGGCCACCTCTTCCTGAGCAAGCCGCCACTCTAGGAGACATCGAGATGCTGAGCAGAGGCTGTTTAGGAGCAACAGGGGTGGCTGGTGATCTGTCCTGCTTGTTGGAGGTAATCGTTTCCCT